ACAAAATAAACAATTTAAAAAGAATACCTGAAGATCCTTAACAAATAAACCCCTGAGCTACAAAATAAAAATGTATTTTAAAATGAGACTTTTAGAATTAGGTCAGAAATTCTTTTGGCATCTTAGCACATGTTAATGTTCACCAATTGGCTAATTACAGTTACTGGATGTCTATGTCCTACCCAAATGTATTACTTACTATATTCTAGACCAGGGGTAACCAATTAAAAATCAGCAGGGTTCGAATAAAGAAAATCAACAACCGGTAAGGGTCTGGAGATATTTTTAATTATCTGTTACTTTATACAGAATTAAATGAGATGTTTATGCATCCATGTTGTACATTGACTTTAAAAAAAAAAAAAATATATATATATATATATATAGAACATTTTTCCATTTTAAAATCTAAAGTGTTTTTTGAAGTAGAGAACCACAATCTTTCAGTTTGGTATACAGACAATTTCCTGATTAACATATTTTATAAAACACCTGAGCTGACCTTTTGTTGCATTATCTTTTTTATGGCTTAATGGGAGCAGTGGGCTTTAGGCTGACCTGCAAGGCTTTAAACCTGGGTTTGAATGGTGACAAAGCCATTCTCAAGCACACATCAAGATTCTCTTTTTGAGCCTGTATTGATATTTATTTTTGATTATGTTCATGGTGGAGAATCCTGCTTCACAACAGTAGTTTGAGCCAAACATACTCAAAATTTGCAGGGTAATCTTTGAGCACACCATTTCACTTTTATTTCACTAGTTCACTGCACTTCTTCTAGCACTTTCTCTGCTCTCTTTTTCTCATCATCTTCTCCTGTTTTTCCATTGCCCAGCTTGCCACAGGTTTGCCTGCTGTGTCTTAAAGTGTCTCGCAGCAGTAGCCCCGACAGCTCATTGGCTAATTTGTATCACGTGTAGCCTGGTCCCGGACGCTCCAGAGGGCTTTACCATATAGACAGGAGAAGCAGCGCAAGCGAAATTAAGCCACTGCTGTCCGGACAACATGGAGTAATTTATAAATGTTTTAAATCAGGTTGGGTTCAGATTAGTCAGCAGGTGGGTCCAGCTCTGGACCGTGTTCCACTAATCCATGACCGCTGTTCTAGACTTTAAGTTGCTCTGAAGTTTAATACATTAACATACATGACGTCACATTTTCATTCCCTTAAAGCCTGTTTGGTTTTTGTTAAACACTTAAAGTCCACACTGAAGTTACAGATGCCTTCAAAAGGAAAGAATTAAAGTAACCAGAGCCTTTAATTCAGTGGTGGCTTCATTGAAACTGTTCAATCAGCATTCACTGCACAGTGCACCACTGACATAAGGCAAAACTTGCATCTATTTCAGAAAGTGTAGATAAACAGCTGATTATTTACACAGGAGCGGATTCAGGATAGTTACTACTAATTATTACATCAATGCAAAAAAAAACAACAACACACACCTTCATGGTTTAAATATACTGTTAGTCAAATCTGCAACAATAGATTTCAAGGTTTTCTAGTGAATTCGACCCCCTGGTAGCATTTACATAAAGTCATGCTAAATTATTCATTAATTATCAGTGAATCCCTGGTGGGAGGAGAAGACATGCACATCAGCTTCTAATTGGCACATCAATAATCCGGCCCAGTTCTGCTTTGGACGCCACCTCAGGAATCTGTTATCTGCCCAGCCTTCTGCTCAGATGTTTCCACAGTGTGGCATCACATCACAAAACGCTTCCACACCTGCTCACTGGCCATTTACTTAACGGGTAATCGGAACATCCCTTATTTCTGGCCCTCACAATTAATACATGGGTAATGCATCAAGTAAATTGTATGGTTACATTCAGCCTTCTAAAGGTATCATTATTATTGTCATCATATTTTAGTTCTTTACCCACAAGTCTTTGCTTAAAGTTGCTACATCTTTTAACCCCTGTGGAAACTGTACAAAAACAGTTGAATTATTCCCTGATTTTAAATATGAAGATACAAAGACAGGCAACAGATAATATGAATAAACTTTTTTTTTGCTTTCTGTTTGATTTCTTATTTTTTTGTTTTTTACTTTAAGTAAGCCAGTTCCTTTCAATTCCTCTGGCACCCAGTAGAAATAAGACCCATATCTTTGGAGAACTCCTGACCCTTCCTCACTTTCTGTTTATAGTGTTAAAGAGATTAATGGTGTTTTACTTCACTCTGAAGTAAAACACACTATCACCTCGGCTGCAGAGCCAGTGTTTATCACAAAGATCACTGGAGTAACTGTTTTTTTTTTTTTTATCTTTGCTGAACTGATAAAAATATTGAATACAGTATTTTACTTAAACATTTTCATATAAATGTTGAGTTTGCTGCATTAGACAAAACTTATTGAAACACTGCTGTAGATAAAGCAGCAAAATATTGTTCTTGATTCTACCTGCTCTCTGAGTCCAATGAGAGCCCTGTGTTTTTTTGTTTGTTCTTTTGTTTTTTTGCTCCTAAACAGAAAGCTTTGAAATACAGTGATCCAGCTGCACTGCCGGGTTTCTAGAGGCAGTTATTCTCAGATATATATCAAAGAGCTGCTGAGCCAAATGTGAATTCCAGTTCCAACATAGCAAGTCCAAGTTCCTACTTCCACTGCATCACACCCTCTTTAAAAGATACAAAGGGATTTACATAAAGTTGCGTCTCTGGAGACGGTGCTACAATAACATGGCTGCTCCTTGTTTCATAATGACTTTCACTTATTGTAGCACATATTCAATGTCTATCACCAAGATTTAGTTTTTTACAAAAGAGGGTGTAGGGTCTGTCATAGGTCTATAGCATAATGAACTGATTTCTCTCCTCCACTTAAATAGAGAAATACAAACAACTGCACGTCATTCTGACTGCTTTTAGAGGCAGCCTAAAAAATTATGTTCCTGGCTGGTAATATTCAGTTTTGTTTACCATGAATTATAAACTGAAACATTAAAAATTAGCAAAATAAAATGATCTGATCCTAACTTGTTAACCTTTTTTAAGGAATAACCGCATGCAGTTATAAATTTGGGAGTTTTAAAGAACTTTTAGATCCATTTTGTTTATAGAAGATTGAGCCTAGATGGCAACTTTATTTTTTATTTTATTTTTTACTTTTAAATAATTTTACCATTGATGACAGTAGGAATGGCCCAGCCTCCCCTGTTCACATTACCCTTGACTTCCTCTAATTATACATAGTGGGGCTACTTGTACCTCACCTTCTGATGGTTTCACTTTGTAATGGGGCCTTTCCTTTTTAGCATCCTTGAGGATTTGTTTATTTTCTTTATGATAATTGATCATAGGATGAAATGGACCTGGCACTAATGCGGTTGGTCTTCTGGTCTGGCAGTGTAAAAAAAATAATTCAGCCAAAAAAAACAAAGCTCTGTCTTTGTATACAATGGCTAAAATTTAATTAGGGTGTCCCCTTTAGAGCCAAGACAACTGGTTAGTCATCAGGGACAGTGCAGGAATCAGCTTTGCTTAAGCCTGTTCTAAAAGGGAAGATGTTGGAAAGTTATTGTCGCTGTAAACTGAGTCATGAACAAAACTAACATTTAAACACCTACTTTAGAAGTCTTACAGTCAGAGAAGACAGATTGAGTTATTAGTGTGAGGATTTAGAATAGAAAATCCCTTATTGTCCAACAATCAGGAAATTGTGGTATAATTATATTAGTATAATCCTGATGTATATTAGTATAATCCTAAAAACATAATGCCATCTTCAACTTCCTTTACTTTGCATGGAATCAATAATGTTTATATTAAAACCTTCACCACAACTGTGTTCGCCATCAGAAAAAGTATAGAAAACCCAAAAATAAAACCAATTTTAATAAAGCAGACTCAGATTAAGCTGCTGGCGTGGCCACAATTTAAACCCTATGGAGAATAGAATTTGCAAAATTCTGTTTGTGCCAGAAAGCCAACCAGAGTAAGCTTTACCAAACTTAAATTTCATGTCCCAGATCATTATGTGTAAACATTTCACTACCCCCAAATGTTTATAAATTTAGAACCACATCCAAGTGAATCTACCTGATGCATATATTTCAGAAACATCAACTTAAATCGGGATTTTGTTTTCAGAATGGCTGCTTCTCTTCACTGCATGTGAAAATCTTAAGATTCCTTTTTCTAAATAACTCCCTAATTTAGCTTCTCATTCTGTATAAGACAGCAATAGTGTAGTCTGCAATGAATACCTCATCATCATACCTGAGCTGCACACAGCTCTCTTTACTCGTTGGCTTTGCTCTTTCACCAAAAGTTGTAATTAAGCGAGTGGGGGAAAAAAAATTAGATGCAAAATGACCTGTCAGAAAGTCACATTTAAGTGAAGGATGCAGTGGCATCTGCAGTAAAAATTTAAATGATATAAATTGCCATTTAAGTGCAGCTCAGGCTAATGTTTTGTCACAAATTAATGTCACACAAGGCAGCAATGACAATCAAGGGCTGCCTCATTCTAATTTGGTTGTGTTTAAAGGGCTTTTGTGAGTCGACAGCTTTACACAAATTAACACAATTGCCTGTTTTTATGAGGAAACCATAAATGTTTTTCCCCCTCCTTTGCCGGCTAATGAGGAGAGAAAACGGCTTGTATCTCAGCATAATGGTGGCGCTGAGACATCTAGAGAGGAAGAACACCGTGCTGCTGTCAGCTTGCAGAGAACAAAGAAGGAAGCCGCAATGTTTCCCTAATGAGCTACTAGAATTTTGATGTTCCCCTATGATCAGATATGGATTCGTTTTTCATTTTGCTCGTTATAAAAATCATCTGCAGATTCTATCACAGGAACAATTAGCAGAGTGTGCAGCACTCTCTGAGGATTATCCTTTCAAAGGGCATTAGTGATAACTGTAGCTTAGTTATGGGATGGGAGGCACGTTTGAGAAAAAACATTTGGTCAAAGTATGGTGTTTAGATAGGATTCATATGTTTTTATTTACAGCTGTTACAACCTTCTGTGCTCTTTCTGTGTCATAGGCTCTGGAGAGTGAGTTTGTGTCCTGCCAGCTTCACCAGTGGATTGACCTGATTTTCGGCTACAAGCAGCAGGGACCAGAGGCCGCTAGAGCTCTCAATGTCTTCTACTATCTAACGTATGAAGGTGCGGTCAACCTGAGCTCCATCAACGACCCGATGCTCAGAGAGGTGAGCTCCTTCCTTTGCTTAATCTGTTACAGAATGCTGAGTAAGGTGGAAAATACGATATTACTTAGGTACCACACAACCTTTCAGATGGATGTTTAATCTGATGATATTATAAAAGCATCTATAGTTCTGAAAGGTTTTTGATGCCATTAGCAAAGTTAAATTGCCTCCAGAGAGGCACAGGAGAGCTAAGCTAACAGTCAACAGGCAGGTATTGCTGAGCAAAGCCTTTCCCTTGTGCAATATGTTTTTGAAAGCACTCCACCAAGTGTTCCACTTTAGCGCCTTAAAGCTTCCTCCTCTGCTTTCATTTATTATTCATTCCCACCACTTTTGAACTGCGGCAGACCAGCTACACTGGGCCATGCCTGAAAGCAACCACACAAGGCACAGTGCTGAAAAGAAAAATACAGCGATCGCACCCACAGGCAAACACCGGCCTGACAACTTCACCAATCTGCTACAAGAGGCAGCCTGCCAGCAGCAAGGCCAATTGACCCTGCTCCCATCAGCCTTTTTGACATCTAACTTTTAGCGCTAAAAGGGACTATGGTCTATTTTTATTGATGACATAACATAAAAAAAATTTTGATGTATGGTGAGACATTTTTCTGGGGGTTTGAAACATAATTGCTGGGATCTAGGAATATGGCATAGTGAGGTCTGAAAACATAATGAGGGGGAATGTATTTTATTTTTTTTAATGGGCATAACTTTGAGATTTTCTCTTTAGGAATTGTAATATTTCTGATCAAAAAATGTATCTAAAACAGGAAAATAAAAGAAGGAAATGGATGATTCAAATGATAAACAAAGCAAGCCTAATGTCATAATGTTTTCTATGAAAACACTTATTTGAGTACAAGTCTTTAGCTTTGTTTCAGTTTAGTTTGTGAAACGGCCCACTGGGTACCCTGTTTTTCCCCCCTTTGGGCAGGCATATAGTGTACATTTTCTTGCCCTTTTTGGGCTGATTTTTAAGTTGTGCAATAACTTTTTGGCTCAGGCTCCATTCACCTTTGTGTGTCCTGCGGCGTGTAGTATACAGAGAATAATGGGGGCATTTAGCCTTTCATGACTATCTCCCTACCGGGAATCGTACAACCAGATGACAAACATGTCTGAAATTCAGTTGAATGGCTCTTGTGAGATGATAGTATCCCGATATTGAAGAAGAGAAACACCCGTCTATGAGCAGATTTATTACAGGATTGCAAACTGCTTATGTGCAAACGAAGGACTTGTTCTTCATCTCTGACTTTATTTCCGGATAGGGAGTCCAACCAGTGCCATCATATCTGTACAGTCTAATGCTACGCTCACACCGCAAGCAGCAAGAGCAGCAAAAACGCGTGTGCTGCGAATTTTTGATGCTTGTACAAGTTTAGTTCTGAAACACCGCGTTAGCAACTTTGCTGCTCCAGGTACGCGTTGGGCGGAGCTACCCTATATTTGCTTGTAGCAATGGCAGCTATATTTGCTGTGATCAGTGGGTAAAAAATAGTTTTAATGTTTTTCAGTGTGAAAGTCCACCTGAAAACTTAATCTGTGCAGTCAGTTCATCCAGATTACCACCCTGCCTGCAAATAGGAATCAGTAGGAATCCCATTTAACAGCAGCTTATGGCCCGGTCGTCTCTTCTCGGTCTGCCGCAACAGCTGGAATTGGGTTTTCATGTACGTAATCCAAATGGCAGGAAATGAAGGATTGCAAAACAATGACTCGTGTTGTAATGAGGTAGTGCTGCCCTTCACCATTATGCTGTAACCACTGGAACTAGTTAGCCATTGGCACAGAGCATTTGGGAAGTTTTTTCATGGATAAGGCCCAGTTAGCCCCAGTTCTTCTGCTATACTTAAAATTGCAATTTTCTTGGAAATGCATCAAAGTTGTGACATAATAAATGTCTTACGTTTTGTTCTTACCGTAAATTACATTAATGGGACATATCTACTGATACCAATCAAGAGAAATATTTTGGAATTATGGTAATAATGATCCAAACCTATTTAAGAAATAATAATACATTTGGATATTAAAATTGTTCTTGTGAATTATATGTATTGTATTTCTAGTTGTTGTCATGATAATCATAACCTTGAGGTTATGCAAGCTCTCAAAATAAAAAAGGAAAACATTTTTAATTTCGCTTAAACAATAATTATCATTATAGTTATTACAGATATAAAAATGTTTAGACATTTTTGTGTTGAGAACATAGCTGCATCATACGCTAATAATATAAAATGTTACATAGTGAAACACTATTAAAGAAGGAATCACTTATATTTTTGTCAAAAATGTCTCATTAAATTTAAAGCTAGGCTCGCCAAAGCAGTTGATGATTTAAAATATTACACATACACAGTAGTGAAACGCTAAAGCAGAACATGGAATAAATGTGTGCTAAGCAGGACTCTGGATGTGGAAGCTGGAATTGCTGTTCCTCTCTATTAGAATAATCGTGATTTCATCTTTCTTTGCATTTATAACCTCGCATTTCAAAACTACAAATACAGGATGAATTTTTCCATAGACTGGATGTCTTCTGGAACCCAAGTTCAAACTGAGATGAGTTCAGAGTACATCAACTGGCCAAGCAGCTTTTTGCCACCACTGTACAGCTGCCCTTCATGACTCACTGACTGGTACATCACAGGCACGAGGGGCAGATTCTTGATTTATCACCTCATTCACCCTAATTCCCATCCAGATGTGCTATGGCCTTTATACCCACACATACACACACACATGCAGATCCATTATAGTGCTCCCTGGTCATTTCATCTTTACCACATTACCCAAATCTCTAGTTAACACACACACACACACACCAGCAAACTATATCTCTGGTACTTCACTATTTCTGTCAAGCTGTTCCACAAAGAAAGATATTGATTGCTCTACCAATAAACACCGAACCAGAAAAGGAAGGTGAATATTATTTCTATCCCATTTAAAACTGTACTCCTTCCACTGTGCCTTTCTGAGTGTGACTGTAAAAGATACATGCTTTGATGCATAGGTTTGTGGATGGTTTGTAATTGTACGGTGGTGATGGATTCAAACATGCAGCAAAGGGCTTTATGTTCCACAACTGGTGAAACATGGCACAAACTTCAAGACAGTGTTCAGCGCCCCTAGTGGTCTGGTGTACTGTTGTGTTGTGGAACAGGTTAGCAGCTTTTTGTTTTAGTTCTGGTAATTTATAGCCTAATAAACCAGATTAAATGTGTAATTTAGTCTGGTCCTGATCAATGAGACATCGGAAGATTGTTGATTTGAACAACGTGTTGTCTTTCATACCATGTCTGTGCCTATTGGCCAACGCTCTGACCAATAAGCGCAACTGACTGTGACTTAGTAAGTGCGACAGAAAGCTGGTGGGGGTGTCTAAACAAACAGCCCGTTGCTAAAACGACAAATACGTCCTTATTAAAAATGAATTAGGGTAGAGCCCCTTCCTGCTCACGTTTCAACGAAAACCCCAAGTCTAATCCTTTCAAAACTGATTCCAATTAAATTAAAGTATTACCTGCACCATATAACCTCTCAGGTGAAGTGATGGATTTAGTAAAAAGGCTTGTTTCACAATTTCAGCTGGAGTTAGAAAGCAGAAACCAGCATTGACATGCTGCTTCATCAGCTCAAGAAATACTGATGTCTTTAAAGTTTGGACCATTCCCTAGAGATGAATAAAAGCTTGTTGTTTTCTCTACCTTCTTCGTTTGAGGCTGTGATTCCAGTCTGCTGTTTTTCATTTCTGAAAACACCCCCAGTCTGAGCACTTTAATTAGTTAAATAAACCAAGGCAGTGTTGCCCTTGTGAGCTAATCTGAAGCTCCCTGTCGGCCATGTTTTTGCGGAAGGAAATGTGGCCTGTCTGCACAGAAAGGTGGAAACAGAGGTTCAGGCCTGGGCTTCATCACACTGGGGTGCTGAGGAGGGTGTGTGAGGGGTTTTAAGCCCGAAAGGGTCCCGGGAGTCTGTCATTACTGAGTGACAACTGTTTTAGCTTGAGCTCTGGACTTGACAGGCTGGACTGTGCTGTGATGGGCCCGGGGGCGTTCAGAGTCTGGGGGATGGGGCAAGGATCTGTGTTCATGTTTGTAGTAAAATGGGATAGATGGTTTGTACCTTTGGTTTGCAATCTGGTAGATGTACACTCCTACATATCTCAAATATTCACACGCAATGTTATTTTTTATTTTTTTTTATGTGCTCTCTACTTAGTGTTGTTGGTAGATGGAAGTGTATATATGCATTATAATTTGGCATGTTTATACATCTGTATATGTTTGTGTGCTCATCAGCATAAATTACCACAATTAAATGTTTATACGCATTAGTCTACAAAGGATAATATATATAGTCTATTAACCTAAAGCAATATGCATGGTATGGTTGTTACATGTCAGGTACGCCGGTCATTGACCTTGTCCAAGGCAGCTTACAGTAGAACTGCAGTCAGTCCCTGCACTAGCATGGCTATCACTGCCCCCACATAGTTAGGGACTAATTTCCCACTTGGATCAACTTAATAGTCATGGTAGGCCACTTCTTTGATTTGATTTATGTTGCTCAGGCCACTTATAAGCCCAGATCCTGCCAAATGTTGAAAGGGCAATATAAATGCTGTTACTGTTAATATATAGTAGAAATTTTACACATTCAGGATTAAAATCTCACAGGGGATGGTATGGGAGAATGGTCATTTTAGAAGGGGGTGATTTTTAAGAATTTTTTTTAAAAGGGCCATGTCATCCCCCTCATCTCGAGTACTGTTTACACGTGCGTTTTTGGTGTCTGGGGAGAAAGATTGGAATATATCAGCATAGATTAGTGGCTGCTCTGGATACCAGATTCTTGTTTTTAAAAAGCTTGATTACTTCCTGTCTTGCCTCCGCCACTCAGCACAGAGAGACCCGTGTGCATACATCCATTTATGTTCCTGTGTTGGGGTTACATGCACATCTGTGTTGCCTCTTGGTGTAAAAAGG